TCTCTCTTGTGTGCCATATTAGTTTTTTTGTCATTTTATGTTACTGGGTGTGTTTGTTTGGGGGGGGTTGGATTTTGAGTTGGGATTTGAATAGTAAAAATTTTGAATTTGAATAGTTGTATGATGTGATATAAATAGGTGTTGATGTGATATTTTGAATGTAAAATTGATTTTTAGTATAATATAAAAAATAAAAAATTACGTGTTTGATTTGATGTTTTTTAGGGGAAAAATTTTTATGAATACTGTAAATCCAATCCAATCCCCCAAACAAACACACCCTAAGTCTCTTAATTATACTTTTACACTAATTTTTCTTTTAAAAAAAAAACTTTTAAAATCTCTATATTTTCTACCTTATTAAATATTTTATATATTTACAAAAGAAATTTATACTTTTTCAGTTAATTTATTCTTATATTTCCTCCATCCCATATCTATATATTCATTTACTTTTTGCAGAAAGTTTTAGAAATACTAGTATTATAATATGATAAAGTAGAAATAAAGCTAAAAAGACTAAATCAACTCTATTAGTATTGTATGATATAAATGTAATGACATTTGTGTAATATATTGTAAATTGAAAAGATATTTGTAATGTTAGGTAGACAGTATAATTATTAAAAAAATGAAATTGATATTTTGTTATGAGACGGACCAAATGAAAAAATTGATAGATTGTTAAGGGACGGAGGGAGTAATACTTAATAAAAATAATATTATTATCTTTCTATTAAATTAAAAAAAAATATTTATATATCATGCTTATGTAATAATTAAAATTCTAAATTCAAATTTAATAACAAAATATATATGTTGTGTTTGTTTTGTGAGACAATTTGATGGGGAATAGTTTGATACAAGGTACGAGAAATTGTGTAAAAAATATAAAAATAATGAATGTATTTGATATATTAATATTTTTAAGAAAACATGTATTTTTTGTCAAAAGAACATACCATAATATTACAATATATTTTTCAAATAAATAATTAACCGATTGACCAAACTTCTTCCAAATGTGTTCAACTAAATACGTTTTGAGTTGCTGGTGTGTTTTTCTAGCTCGGAGTTGCATTCTATTAGTGTATTCCCCTAGCTCGGAATCGTATTCTATTTTCTAAGTATTGATCAATAGTTGCATACCTCGTATTGTTGTATAACCAATTCGAGTTATCATTCGTCTTCACTTGATCATATTGAATGTATCGTAATAGTACATGTAAGTATCCCTTTTATTTTCTACAATCATATTATGTATGCATCCTCTCATTATTTTACCTAGTAAATTTACGCAAAATAGTCCATAACTCTCGTATGGTTTCAAAACTCAGCGTAAATCCTCGTTTACTTTAAAAATTGCATGGCACTCTCTTATACTTTAAAAATGTTGCATAAAACTCCACTGTGATTTTAAAACTCGACATAAATCTCCAATCTACTTTAAAAAATTACATGGACCCGTCTTAAACTTTAAAAAATATTGCATAAAACTCCCCGTCATGCAAAACATACAAATAGAAAATCATCTTCTCATCATACAAAAAAGTTTTTAATGATAGTGGGGTTTTATGCAAGTATAAGAGGTATCATGCAATTTTTAAACTATAAGGTCATCTCCAACTTATTATTTCATTTTTGCAGCAGCTAGTAAAAATGTAGTTGGTCTACAATAATTTTACTTTAACCATAAGCTTCAATTTTTACTCTAAAAAATGTATTCCCTATATATTCTTTTTTATATTATTTTATATAACTTTTCATATTTATAAATTACACGATAACTTTAATTTATTTTTACATTATCACTAAAAATATATAATTCATAATTTATTTATAAAATTATATATCACTTTTTTTTAAAAAAGTTATATATTATTTTTTACAAAAATAAAATTATATATCTGTTAAAATATTTGGGGTTTTTATGGGCCTAGGGTTAAATCCTAACTGTTGGGCCCACAAATAAAATCCACGAAAAGGGAAGTGGGCTTCTAGAGGCTCATTTGAAGGAAATGCCGAGTAATCGGTCGCTTGATTAGGCGACCTGTTAATCGTTTGAATGAGTGGTCGGTCGTTTGGTCAGACGGCAGTTCAGTCGCTTGAAAGGTCGGTCGGTTGGTCGCTCAATTGGGCGACTAAGTTAATCGTCTGGTCGACTGATTGGTCGGTCGTTTGGACGAATGATTGTTCAGCTGTTTGAGGGGACTAGAAGTTGGTCGTTTGACTGGGTGACTGGTTGGTCATTGGGTCTGGCAACCGGTCGATTCCTTGATCGGTCGGTTGGTCGATCGGTTGGCTATTCCGGTGGGTTCAATCGGTGAACGGTTCAGATGTTTGTTCAGTTAGGTGATGATTTATAATTCGTTTGGAAAGGTAAAAGTTGTCTTCGAGTCGTCTGGTCGAGCAGACGGGTGCTAAAGCAACCAATGACGGTTTTTCAGACGGTTGTAAACACAAAGGGGTTCCTCTGTCAGTTATAACTAATTGTGCACGATCTGAGAACTGATTTAGAGGGCAATAAAAGGCAGTTCGCAAATGGCAAAAGACATCTTCAATCGACATCAAATTCAGTGAATTGCTTTTGGAGATCATTCTTTTACTTTTCCAGTATTTAGTGTTCTTTTCAATTTTCTTATGTATCGTACGGTGTGTAGGGATTTTCAATCTCAGACATCTTTTTAATCAAATTCGAAAATAATTTCTTTTTTGGATTTTACTTTTTTATTGTTGAAAATCTGCATCAACAATATCACTTTAAAAAAAATAAAATTATATATTATTTTTTTAAAAAATAAAATTTTATATCACTTTCAAAAAATAAAATTACACAAAACACCCCAGAACTAACAAAAATACACAAAATACTCCACTCCAAAAATGGAAAAACACTGTAGTTATCCCTAAAAATAGGGTTGGGTTCGAGCCCCAACCCCTTCATTTTCAGCCAATGCAGTGGGTTGGAGATGGTTTAAGGAGATTTTACGCTAAATTTTGGAATCACATGGGAGTTAGGAACAATTTTACCGTAAATTTATATCCCAAAAAAGTAATGGTGTTTTAATGAAGACAAATCGAGCTTGTAATACATCAAAGTCACACTTTACATCTTTTCGAACTACTTATTGGTGTTTCGCAAATAATTGTGTTTTATAACCTTGAGACAAACAAATTGATTGAACAAATGTTGCCTACGGAGAGTAAATTGCATCAGTAAAATAATACCTCATATTATATTGATGGTCATTTATTACAAAATTAGCCTCTGAAGTTTTGTCATTCAAAATGTAGTTAAAATTGGAGATCGATCAAATACATTAATATGTACTTAGTGTTTTAAAAAAAATAGATATTCAAATCCACAGATCATATGATGTTATAGCTTTCAATAAATCATGATCTCCAAATTTGAATTGTCCTTTCAAAGCAGCCGGATATTTTCTTTAGGTGTGAATTGTAAACATAAAAAATTATTTAAAATAATATGTAAAATAAAATATTTGAAGAAAATATTTTCTTTGAAGTAAAGAATAGAATTATATTCTTTCCACCTCATTTTAATTAACAAATCGTGTGTTTATTTCGTAAGATTGTTGAAAAGGAATTTCTTTTATACAAGATAGAGATGATTGTTTAGGAAATATAAAAATAATTAATACGTGTAGTGTATCAATTTTTTTGAAAAAATATGTAAGAAAAAAAAAAAAACAAAGCCATCTTCTCATAAAACAAATATTTTTATTGAAACTTCACATTTTTATAAAATTCATTTATATTAATTATAAACAAATAAATATTTTTTTATTTATTTGTATAATATAAATTTTTTATTATATATATTTTTTATTATTATATAAATTTTAAAATATTTAAATATATATTATAATATTTTTAGTTGTATATTTTAAATTTATTTTAGAACTATTAATTTTATTAATTTTATAAAAAATAATATCATAAATTATTATTATTATTAACTAATTAAATTCGAGGAGAAAATAGGTAGGAAAATAAATTGAAATAAAAATATTGTAACAACTGTAACTTCAATTAAAAAGTATATAAATAAAATTGAGTTGAGGATGAATAAGTGAACAAACTCTATAGATTTTTATATAAAATATAAAAAATTGTCTAAATAATATAAAAATTATGAATATGTAATAGTTGTTCTAGCTCAAAGTACAATTTTATTATTTTGGTCTCTCACACTCTCATTTACCCTTATTTTTTTCCCTAAATTACAAATATATCATTATATATACAATTACTTTTTATAGACAAAAATGTTTTCACTGACTAATAAAATACTATTATTTTTTAATCTACTCCCTTCGTCCCAATATAATAGTCTTATTTACCATTTTTGTCCGTCCCAAAACAATAGTCTAATTTCCATAAATACTCATATCATTGTAAAATGATCCTTACATTTTTATTATTATTACATAAATGTCACTACTTTTCACACTAATATATTTACAAGAGCAAAAAAATCTTTTACTCATACTTTTTAATACATATCAATATAATATTAATATTCTTGTCCAACTCAAACAATACAATAGTTTTGGAAGGAAAGGGGTACTATAAAACTCCAAACTACCCATTTCTACAAGAGGGAGGGAGTATATTAAGAGGGAGTATATTATTTCTACGAGAGGGAGGGAGTATATTAAGGGTGTGTTTGTTTGGGAAATTGAATTTCTAATCCACTGCTCATCCAATTTTTTTCCCTAAAAATATCAAATCAAACATCTATTTTTTATTTTTTATATTATACTAAAAATCAATTTTACATTCAAAACATCACATTAACACTTATTTATATCACATCGTACAACTATTTAAATTCAAAAATTTTACTAATCAAATTAACTCAAAATCCAAACCCCCAAACAAACACACCCTAAATTTTTTTAAAAAGATATGTGATTTGTATTTTGACAGAACAAACCAACCCTATATACCGTATATGACTATCCACACAATTTTATTTACATTTACGAAACTTAGCGCATACGCACACGTGATGTGATGAGCAACCGTTACCCTTTCTCACCCGCACCTCTCACGTGCCTCAGCTCCTCCGAACGGCGTCGTTTCCGCCGCAACCTCGACGTCTCCGCCGTCCGCCGTCGCCACCACCGTCGCCGCATTCTAAAGAAGTATGCTCCGGACTTGGCGCTTCCGCCTCCACACACACCCACCATATTCAAGCTCTCCGATGACACCTTTCAGATAAGCCTAAATCCTACTCTGAATTCCATTCAGCGATTGGAGGCGAGGCTCAATCAGTTCCTGGACTACGGCCGGGAAGCCTTTGATGACTTGCGAACTCTGGTCACGGTCGATAGGAGCAGCGGGGGATTCACAATCACCTGCAGAAGGTCAACCATCGAATTTTTCGTCGCATTGTTTATTTCCAGTTTCGTGGTGGTGGTTGCTCTTCGAGGTCTGTTTAAACCTCGAAATTCCGGCGGCGAGGTGCTGATATATAGGAGAGACAGGAGCCTCGGAGGCAAGGAGGTGGTGGTCGGGTCGAGGGAGACAAATTGGTCGACAAGCCGTAAATTGACGCCATTGAATTCGTCGGATAATGAGAGAAATTATGGAAGGGAAAGGAATAGGGCAACAATGGAGAGAAGGAAGAAGGCAGAGCTGCCGCAGTGGTGGCCTCAGGTAGTAAATTCGGTTTCTGACGAATCCATCAATAAGGAGGAGTATCAAAGGATGGTTAATCAACTTGTTCAAGGTTTGTTCCAGTTTCTCTTCTCTTCATTTTTGCATTCTCTGTTTTTCTGAATTTTCTGCAATGCTAATTTTCGTAGCATCGGATTTTGTTTAGTATTTTATAGTTTTACTTGTTTTGGGTTTGAGATGCGTATAACTGAGAAAGTATTGTATTATAAAACAAATTCTCTGACCTTGTTTAATCACTCTAATAATTCCCAAAATACCTTTATTTATACACAATCAATCAACATAATAATATATATCTGATCAAAATAATAATAATATATTCATTACAACCCACGTTCAACTCAAATGAGCATCCATTTCGTGAAGGGAGTATTATATAGTGTAATTTTGGTAATATCTTTGTGGAATTGTGTATTTCTAAAACACTAAGGGTGTGTTTGTTTGGGGATTTGGATATTGTGTTTGAGTTTTGAATAATTAAACTTTTGAATTTGAATAGTTGTTTGAAGTAAAGTCATAAATGTAATTTTTTAGTATAATATGAAATAATAGTAATTTGATCAATGTTTTTGGGGTAAAAAAATTTAATAAATAGTAGAAATCTTGAAAAATTTCCAAACGAACACAACCTAAGTAAACACATATAACAGGTTTCTAGGCTATTTGTGAAGTTGAGGTTAATTTCGAGAAGGTTTTAACATATATCGGGACGAATTGGATATCATCATATTGTTGGTAGATGAATGCTAGGTAGTTCTAGTTAAAGAGCTGGCTGATTATGTTGTGTGAGCAGCAGCATCAATGAACGTGTTGTCTAAACTAGATTTATTTCGATTTTGAATTATCGGCTATGGGATTTCTTGAAACTGGGGATGACAGTTTATACCATTTATGTAAAAGAAATGAATGTGATGAACAATTGAGCTATCGGCTATGGGATTTCTTGAACTGGGGTTGGCAGTTTATATCCTTTATGTAAAAGAAATGAATCTGACGAACAATGCAATCTTGATGATAGTTATGAATCTTAAAACACTTCTCATTAATAACCCTTTCACATGTATATGGATTAATGCAAGGAATGTAGGTGCATTACTGTTTTTGGTCCAATCTTCATACATAGATACAAATCTATATCTAAACCAGCATCACATAACAATATGAAGTTGTCTATTCTAATTTTCCTCTCGAGTGCCCTTTTCTACCAATCTAATCATGCCATGGAGTAATTCAAATCTTTGTCTTGGCAGTGCTTTTATGAAGATGTTGTCATATTGTTTCATGTGAATATCACTGACTGCTCTCTAGATTTAATTAAAAATTGCAACATTACACTCTCCAGCAATAATGGACCGGAAAATGACTGGGGAGGACATTTCAACAAATGATGTAGTTCAGGTCAGTAATTTCCAGTTAACCAGCCAATGTAATTTTTTTTTTCTTAATTTTTTTTTTTTTTCCGCCTTTATCCTTCAGTAAAGATCTATTTACTTAGGGAATTAATTTATTCTGTATTTTAGTCCTAGGTGCTGAAAGGTATTCTTGTTTGAGGTGTTTAATTGATGATATTTTTCTCTCTAGAGGACATTGGGATTTGGTAGATGAATATAGATAGCTATTAGCTAGTTTAAGGTTGAAGAAGACCTGACTTAAGGGTGCATTTACTTTGGGTGATTAGGGCGGATAATATTTTTTTATCCAACCTAATTGCATGTTTACTATAATTGATTAAAACTCGAGAGTGATTAAAGCTCGCTATAATAATACACTAATTAAGGATAATTAATTCCACGTAGATAGGTAAAATTAATTTATCTCAAGTATTAATTGTACTAAAGTTTATATTATCATATATTTAATTAAGCAAATTTTAAACATGATAGTAATTAGGTTGTATAATATATTGAAATAATATTAGAGATTAAAATTATATCCTACATAGTAAATGCACTCGAAGGGTACAAAATGCTTAAAAGTTCATCACCATAATGATTGGTATGGTTGCATCATCTGAATCTCGTATTTACTGTACTTGATGCAATTTGATACATACTCATCCTTTTTTATTTTAGGCATGACTTCTGATCCACATGCAGATAGAACTCCAATAGCGTTTTTGAATAATATCCTTTAGAAGTAGCTGTTCTATGCTACATTGCACTACCTACTGCCTGTAGTAATTGGTGTTATCATAATTTATAAAACCTACTAAACTCAAACATCTGAGTGCTCAAATATGATATATTGGTTTACGAACTATGAAGGGGGTTCTGTCATTTCTAAGTCATTGAGATAAGGGACAGTGTACATTATGCAATATAGATAAAAAAATTGTATTTTGCTGATGTGAACCTTGTTGCCTTATAAACAAGGTTATTGTTACAAATCACTATGTGATTGATACAAAAACCCGATGAGAGCTTTCAGAGGGTTATGACAACTATGGATGGTTAAGTAGGTGAAGCCGATGAGAGCTTTCAGAGGGTTATGACAACTATGGATGGTTAAGTAGGTGAAGCCGATGAGAGCTTTCAGAGGGCTATAACAACTATGGATGGTTAAGTAGGTGAAGCGTTTTGTTAAGTCCCAAGAGGAACAAAGATTTTTAAGGAATTGTTAGCCATAAGATACACCCTAATATATTCTTGGTTGCTTCAACCTTCACGACTACGTATCATTTTTATTTGAATATTCTGTCTATTGGTTACGATATAAGGTTGTAAAGCAACCTAACCTATTTCAGCAAAGTAAGCCATTCATATTGTCCCCTGTTTGCTACAGTTACGCCACATATGCAAGACATATGGAGTGCGGGCCTTCATTAACACAGAAAATGCACGAGATTCACTTTACCGGATGTCGATTAACTTTGTTTTGGACTTCTGTGAGAGGTATGCTCGATGCAGCTTTAGATAACTTCGTCACAGATGACTGGGATCTTTTGTCTTGGGTTCTTAGTTCTATCACATATTAGTGACTTGATTTGATCTTCTATAGCATATCCACTGTGTCCACATCCATTGACTCCATTCAGATTAATGGTGAAGATGTGCGAGAGTTTGTTGCTGGTCTTGCTGATAACATTGGACTTGAAAGTGCTCGTGCTGTGAGAATGGTATCTGCGGCTGTTGCAGCACGCACCCGATCAAAAATCTTGCAGGCTTGGGTGCGCTCTTTTGCTCTCGTTTATAAGCATTAATACTAAGTCTTCTAATAATGTTTTTGAACGTGTAAAGGGTTCAAACATTCATTGTATCCAGCCTCTAGAGGCCCATTTCTATGAGTTTATGAAAAGATCTGAACAAAGTACTGTAGGAGATGTGACATATATTTACGCACAAATTGTCATTGATTTTCACGCTAAAGTATATAATTATTAGAAGAACTTTTGAGGAAAATATGTTTGTGATGCGTGATTTTTAGTTTTTCTTTTTAAATCACTTTATTTGAGTTTCGATTATGTTGTATCAGGCATTAGAAGTTCAAAATAAGCATTCTGATGCACTGGCTGAGCTATTCAAAGTCTGCCTTATTCATCGAACTTTCCCTCCTGAAGAGAACTCTGTATGCATCACTGTCTCTGGCTCTTTTTCATTTTATTCTATTCTATTTTCATGTAAAGTTCAATTTTGCCAATGATATTTAAGGACATGCATGTTATATTTAAATTGTACACCCTGAATCCCTGTATTCTTTTGTTCCATAACTTTTGGCATTTATCCACTAGCCCATTGCTGTTTGCCTGCAGGATAATGCTGACTTTTACACATATCAATTTCTAGTTTAAATACTTCAAATATATAAACCTTGTTGGGTATTTTAGAGTGAATTTCTTTTTTGTTTCTTTCTTCAAAAACCTCTCTTTTGTTTCTTTCTTCAATGCCCCATGTAGTAAATATCCTGATTTGACTTTAGAAGCTTGAACTCTTGTCAATGCCAACATTTAAATAATGCCTGAAATCACTGCTTTCAGACCAATAGTCTGACCTACTTTGCCAAAAGACTTTCTCCAATGCCCTTCCTACTGCTGATGCAGACATTGGTATTTTAATCTTCTATCTCACTTGAGAATTCTGTTATGCTCTTTCTTTTTTCTTTTTTTTGATCTGACTGTTATGCTCTTTCTATAATTATAGCAGATTGAGAAAGAGCCAAAAATGGAGATTTTTCTTTTACAAATTGTAACAACGTTTGCTGATACAAATTATCTGTAGTCAGAGTACGGTGTGTTTGTTTGGAGGTTTGGATTTTGAGTTGGGATTTGAATAGTAAAAATTTTGAATTTGAATAGTTGTATGATGTGATATAAATAGGTGTTGATGTGATGTTTTGAATGTAAAATTGATTTTTAGTATAATATAAAAAATGAAAAATAGGTGTTTGATTTGATATTTTTGGGGGGAAAAAATGAAATGAATAGTGAAAATCTAATCCAATCCTCCAAACAAACACACCCTAAAGTATTTATCAAAATAGGTCTTTACGGAAGAAAGCGATGTGATGTCTTCAGTTGCTTGCTCGTTTTCCCTTATGCGGGAGTTTAAAACTAGAATTGGCACAATATCGAGAAGTAGCCGCCCTTTGCTCAATTTGGCTCAGACCTTGAAGTATTCATCTATTTCAGATGATTCAGTTTAGTAGTTCGGTAGTGGAGAGTTCAAAGATCATTCACTTATACTTATTTATAATGGTTTACTGCAGCCGGAGATGGAAATGGTAGCAAGAGGCCTTGACAAGTCTCTAAGCACAGATCAAAGAGAACATATTTTGAACTCATTCATCACCATTTGTGGCGATGACATTGACCGGAGTGTTGTGGAAGCACTAGGTTTGGTATGCCTTCTCCCACTTGAGCTTCATAACCTTAACTTTTCCATATATGTTTATGTTCCATTCTATGTGCATGGATCGAGTCAATCAATTTATTAATTTTTTTTTATTGGTTTTCCCTGTTAAGACAAGATATTAAATGGTTGTTTAGCTTTTTGTACATGCATTGTGATAATCCTAGCAACAGAGTTTAACTAACCTGTGAATGTAAGAGTAGACACAAGTTACTCAGGTAAAAATATAAGAATCTATTGTTAAGATTCACATGTTTGTTTGTTTGGGGGTTTGGAATTTTTTTTGAATTTTGAATAATAAAAATTTTGAATTGGAATAATTGTATTGTGTGATATAAATAAGTGTTGCTGTGATATTTTGAGTATAAAATTAATTTTTACTATAATATAGAAAAAAGAAATTAAGTGTTTTATTTGATATTTTTTTAAGAAAAAATTTGGGTGAATAGTAAAAATTTGAGGAAATTGGATAAAATAACACAGGTCAAGAATATTATTAATGTATTGCTTGTTATTAATAATATAATCTGAGTCACAAGAATATTTTAAACTTTCTATATTATTTACTCTGTAGATCTATTAATGATTTTCTTTTAAATTTTGTAATTTGTTCTCATATTGCAGGGCTACTTTTATTCGACTGTTTGTAATTAAACATGTTAATATTTTCAACTTTACATCTAAATGCTTAGGCCCTATGTTTAAATCTCCATACTTATTGTGAAAGTGATTTTGTTTTTAGTTCTATTTTATTTACTGCTCTTCTTCAGGTCAATTTCATGGTGTTAGCATCTTAATTAGTAGAATGACATCTCTCATACATCATCCAATTTTCGTAATTTTTTTAACTATCTCAATAAAATTGTGCTAACCAGTTCCTTTCTTACACAACCAGAACTAATCAATCAGAAGATATACTGTTAACATCCAGAATTTTGTGGAGAAACAAGTGACTATAATACAAGTCATTTCCGGGGCACTCTGAATCCCCTGGTGCAATGTCGGAAAATGCAAGTTACCAAGGCATCATTTCATCGAAAGCTACATCTCAATTCAAGCTCAGATCCACACATGGAAGGATGAAAAATACACACTTTCAGGCATCAAACTCTGTCTCCCATTCATAACAAGGTAAACATTTTCGACCGACTTTCTTATAATGTGCTAGTTTTTATCTTCACATTTACGGTAGTATAATTTATTTACCTCTTATTTATGTCAAGAGAAATGCATTGTGGCTTTTAATAGTATAACAAGAATTATGTACTAATAGTTATAATTTACTCTTCCCTTCAATCATAACTTGTTTATTATAAAAAAAAACACTCAATAGCTGTCTTGGTTTCTAAGCTTCTATATATATATATATATATATATATATATGCTTGGCTTGCACCTTTTGAAATGTGAAATCCTTTTATCCTACTCCCTCCGTCCCAAACAATGTGCAACATTACTTTTGGCACGAGTTTTTAGGTGGGTAGTATTAAGTAGGATAATTTAGAAATTAGGTGATGTGATTGGAGAGAGAAATATATATTTTATTTTTTTATTTGGATGATACGAGGGGATAAAGTGTGGGATAGAGATTAAGTATAATTAATTATTTCCTATTTTGGAAATGTTGCAGGTGTTTGGTACATACCAAAAATGAAATATTGCAGGGTGTTTGGGACGGAGGGAGTATTTCTTTTTCCCTCCGATCATAGGGTGTGTTTGTTTGGGTGTTTGGATTTTAAAATGGGATTTGAATGGTAAAAATTTTGAATTGAAATAGTTGTATGATGTAACGTAAATAAGCGATTGATTTGATATTTTGAATATAAAATTGATTTTTTTATTATAATATAGAAAATGTAAAAATAAGTGTTTCATTTGATATTTTTGAGGGAAATCTTTTTAATGAAGAGTGGAAATCCTAAGAAATCATCCAAACGACACACCCGAATTCGATATGTTTATGTGTTAATTTTAAATTAGATGAAATATAGGGTGTATTAGTTTTGTGTTTGGGTTTTTGTAGAATGTGATGTTTTGTGAGAGTGTTATACTTATTTATATAAAAATTCTTAAAAATTATAGTGTGAAAAATAGAAAATAAAATTAAAAATTACAGAACCATAACATATAACCATTAATTTTTATTTTTTTTAACCATTAATTATTTGTTTCGTGTTCATTGCTTATTATATTTTATTGCACTATTGAATAATGCGTTTGTAAATAGAATAATATAAGACTGTTATTATATATGATTTTGGAAATTTTGATAAATAATAAACAATTGAGTATTTGACATAATATTTTATAAAATGTACTTCTTCCGTTCCAAACAAAGTGCAACAGGCACGAGTTTTTAAGTGGATAGTATTAAGTAGGATAATTTATAAATTATGGAGAGAGAAATATATATTTTATTTTTTATTTGGTTGATGTGGGAGAATAAAGTGTGGGGTAGAAATTAAATATAATTAATTATTTCTTATTTTGAAAATATTGCAGGGTGTTTGGGACGTGTTTGGGACCGAGGGAGTAGTATATAATTGATGTAATTTTTTTTTCTTTCTAAAATGATACTCCCTCTGTTCCAGATACGGGAATTTAGGGCTTATTACCGTAGATACATTAATTTAGGTAAAATATAATTAGTATGTAATTAAGAAGTGTATTAGTAAAAATAATTATAGATTAAGAGTAAAATAAGTAAATAGTTTAATTAGAATTAAGAAAATTATAAAATTTAAAATGTGATTAAAGTGTATAATTATATTTTCAAAATAAAAAAGACATGTCACGCACAAAAATAAAAAATAGGACAAATTAACATTTTCTTACTTCTTTTAGGTGGTGCATACTAAATTTAATGGTTGAATGTCTTGTTCTTATGCATATACATATATATTAAAGTGGATTTGTTTAACAAAATTTGTAAGTTGTGTTTGGCGGCTAATAATTTTGAAAATTGTCTTTCACAGGTTCCACAGAAAATTATTGGATCAGTTTTGTGGCATTTTTTTTTTTTTTTTTTTTCGGTTTTCAATGAAAAATTATCTTTCCGTTCCGCCAGGGATGACTCTATTTCTTTTTTTGGTGTGTTCCATAAAAGATGATTTTTTTCTATTTTTTTTGGTAAATTTATCAATCTTAAACATACTTAACAAATATAAATCAATTTAATTAAATTTCTAACATCTTACTCCACTTAAAACCCTTTTATATATATCTTTTTCTTCAATTAACAAATATTTTTATCTATCTTTAAAACTCCTCATTTTTTATAAAATTAATTTATAATAATAATAAATAAATAAATATATATTTTTATTCATTTGTATTATATAAAATTTTATTATCTACAATATAATATATATTGCATAGTATTTTATTTAAATATAATTTTAAAATATTTAAAATAAAAACAACATTACACATATAAAAAAATAGTAAAATATTATCATAACTTATTATTAATAACTTAAGTACGTGTTTTAATAAAAGGGATCATCTTTGGCTAAACTGAGGGAGTAGGTTTTTAAGTTTTGACGGTAATATTTTAAATCGATGATAATGGTTATCTGGATGTTATGAATTTAAGATAAGTTTTATATAAAGTATTTTGGTTGGAATATATATATTATGATTTTTATTTTTATTTTTTTGAATCGCAAATAATTTATTGTAAAAGGCATATATATAATTTTGTGTCGGCAATATTGATGAAATAACGCCACGCTGTACAAGGCTTAAATAGAAAGCGGGTGCTGTTTTGTATGTATTATATAATTTAATTATTTTTTTCTATTTCTTAAAAATATATTATATTTATTTTAAGAAAAATAAACATCAGCCTTAATTATTTTTTTTTTAAAATTTCTTTCGCAAAATATCAATTTAAAATATTTTAATATTAATTTATAAAAAATATATTCTATTTATTTTAAAAAAAAATAAACACCAGTCTTAATTTTTCTTTTAATTTTTTTCATAAAATATCAATTTAAAATATTATTAAATAAAAATTAAGAATATTTTCTTATTAGTTTATGATTATTTTTACTTAAAAAAAATTAAGTGAGATAAATAAAAATAATAAAAAAATATATTTTGAGTTGAAACCGAGAGAATATATATCATATATATTGTACTAAAGCAGATAGTGTGTTTATTTATAAAATTTTGATTTTGAAAAATTTTGGTTTTGAATAATAAAATTTTGAATTGAAATAGTTGTTTGACGTGATATAAATATATATTAACGTGATGTTTTAAATAAAAATTTTAATTTTAGTATTGTAATTAATAAAAAGTAAGAAATGTATTAATAAAAATAATTATTTTATAATAAAAATAATTATAAATTTAAATAATTAAATAATTTAATTAAAATTTTAAAATTAAAAATTATAAAATTTAAAAAATTATAATAATAATATCTTTTTTAAGATTGAAAAGATAAATTATGTAAAACATACTTAAATAAAAAATATAAATATTTTACAAGACAACATGAAAAAAGTATATAATATTTATTATATTTCATTTGTTTCACTTAAATTATTCATTTTAGGTTAGACATATAATTTTAGGTATTAGATAATTGGTAAATAATTAAAAATTATAATTTAATAAAAATAATTATAAATTAAGATTAACCTGAATAACTAGTTTAATTAAAACAAAAGAAATTATAAATTGTAAATTTTAAAATATAATTAAAGTATATAATTATATTTCCACGATAATAAATGAAAATAGAAAGAGTGAATATATCAAGTGGGACCAAAAGAATATATTTTTATAAAAAAATTAACAATATAACACAAAATATAATTTTTTTAATATTATCAATCTAAAATTTCATTTCTAAGCTAAAAAAACACAACAATCTGGACGTGTAATTAGAGTTGTTAAACGAATTAAGTCGTTCGTGAACTCGACTCAATTCGACTTAGTTAAAGTTCGTTCGCAAACGTTAACGAGTCGAACTGAACAACATCAACAGACTCGTTTGATTAACAAATAAGCCCGAGTTTTGTTCGCAAATATTTATTTAAATAATATATTTATTATAAATATTATATATACATACAAAATTATAATTTATAAATAAATAAAATATTAATTTAAAATATATAAATAAAATAATTTAATTTTTTTTAGAAAAAATTGTACATATATTTAAAAAAATAAGACAAACGAACTCTAACAAATTTAATTGAATCGAACACGAACATGAACACGAGCTCAAACAACAAAATTTTTTAACGAACTAAGCCCAAAAATTAAACAAACGAACATGAGCTTGTTTGCAAACATTAACAAACACTTAAAATTTGACTTGAGTCGACTCGGCTCGGCTCGTTACCACGTGTACGTGAAATATATAGACAATGGAGGTAATATCATTACCGACATATTATTACGCTGTAACTAAAAGTCGAGATTCTACGACACAAGTCTGAAATACCTATCTTACCCTTCCTAATAATAGAGGTCGATGTGCGTCGGTGGAGCGTCATCTTCACCTTCCAAGCGGTTGCTTCGTCCCAAATCCAGCCTGTACCCCTCGTTAAACCTCGATCATCTGACCTCATCTCCACCGTCAATTCCACCTCCATCCGACGGCACCAAATTTGGGAGCATTCACCCCCTTGACAGAGATGGCCGATCTAACACCACCCTTCACCTTCACTCACATTCACATTCACAACCCTTCGCATTGCAGCAAACAACACACAATTTCCGTTCCATTTATTTCTCCCCCAACCCCAACCCCTCTCTGCATATCATTCTTAGATCTAGGGGTTCTCTAGCTGCAGATCAATGGCGGTGAATCTCGGTGCGCTAGTCGCGGTTCTGGCGGTGGTAATGGCGGTCGGTGTCGCCGCCGACAAAGTGACGGTTGTGATATCGCCGGAGACGTCTAAGGAGATCAAGGTGAAGAAAGTGAAGGGGGAGAAGGTCTGCACTCAGGGCTGGGAGTGCCAGGAATTCTCCAAATACTGCTGCAACCAGACGGTCTCCGATTTCTTCCAGTCTTACCAGTTCGAGAACCTCTTCGCCAAGAGGAACTCCCCCGTGGCTCACGCCGTCGGATTTTGGGACTACAAGTCCTTCATCACCGCCTCCACCATGTACCAGCCGCTAGGCTTCGGAACCACCGGCGGTAAGGAGGTGCAGATGAAGGAAATCGCCGCTTTCCTTGGCCATGTCGGTGCCAAAACTACTTGTACGTATTTTCTCCCCTGTTCATTTCCTATCCCTTTCGCTACTGTTGTTCTTCTTCCGTGTTTCTGTGAATCATTTGCTTGACATAATTGGATTGTTGCTTTATGAAGCTCCTGCCATTTCCTCGATTGTTGTTGTGTAGATTTGGTTTGAGTTTTTTGGCATCACAGTCAACAGCAGATTTGTAACAGTAACCAGATCCAATTACACTGTTTGATGATCATGATTTGCATATAATTGCCCTGCGTTGGCGATCTCGATAATTCGATCAACTCCTTGATGAGACTGTCGGTGATTACTACTGCTTTGTAGCATTGCAGCATTTTGGATATTTAGGGATTGTTATGTGTTATTGATAGCACTTAGGCACATACACAGTTGATTTTGATAATTCGACCATCACCTTAATGAGTATTGTTTTTGCTTTTGGCTTTTGCGGAAGAGATTTTTTATTTTTTTTTCTAGAGCTGCTAATGGGTCGATTTAAATTACTGCACCCTAATCCGATCTGTTTATTTATCGTGTCGGGTTCGGGTTTGACTCGTGTTGACCCGTATATGAAATTAACTTGAAATGTTTTATTCAAATTAAATTATATTTTGTCTATGTTGTCGTTAGTTTTTATTGGTTTGAGCGTATATAAAGAATTAGGTTAAATTATTTAAAATTAAATTTAGTTTAAATTAATTTATGAGTAAATTATTAAATTATAATTATTTTAAATAATATAATAAATATACTAATCAATATTAATATATTATAATCGGGTTGTCGTTCGAGTTTTAGTTGAGAGCTTCAACCATAATCCGATCCGTTTATTATCATGTCGGGTTCGTGTCAATCTGTATATATAACCGGGTTGAAATCTTTGACCCAAACTCAATTATTTCGTGTCGGGTAAATTTTTTGCCAGCTCTATTCTTTCCTGTAATATTGCAATGCTACAATGAGTTAGTTATAGGTTGATCAGGAATGTGTTTCAGCCAAGCATATTATTTTGCTCGTCTAGGTCGGCTTCGTTTGATTACTTTCTTGCAATGGTTGATGCAGGCGGTTATGGAGTGGCAACAGGTGGTCCGTTGGCATGGGGTTTGTGCTATAACAAGGAAATGAGTCCCATGCAAGAATATTGCGATGACTTCTACAAATACGAGTACCCATGCGCTCCCGGAGCTCAGTACTACGGCCGTGGTGCCATTCCAATATATTGGTAGCCTTGACTTGTTCTGAATATTCTCATCCATCACAACCTGCCTCCTCTCATTGACGTTTTTTCTTAAATGTCACAGGAACTACAACTACGGCAAAATAGGTCAAGGAATCAAGCAAGACCTGTTGAACCATCCCGAGTACGTTGAACAGAACGCGACCATTGCTTTCCAGGCTGCGATGCATCAATGGATGACATCTCCCAAGAAAGGACAGCCCTCACCCCACGAAGCCTTCGTGGGAGACTGGAAGCCCACCAAAAATGACACCCTGGCTAAAAGATTCCCGGGATTTGGAACCACAATGAATCTCTTGTATGGGGATAGTGTTTGCGGCCAAGGTGATGTCGACTCTATGAACGTGATCATATCTCATTACCAGGAATACCTCGACTTATTGGGCGTTGGTCGGGAGAAGGCGGGGCCCCATGAAGTGCTCACGTGTGCCGAGCAAGAAGTGTTCAATCCCTCCTACAAGTCGACTTCTTCTTGAAAGGTACACATAAGACACTTTACCATTGCTGCATTTGTGATCTCCCCTCTCTTTTGAAAAAGCCGTATAATAATAATAAGAGCAGCCGAATTTGCCGTGTCGGCTGCCCTAGTTAGTGTGTGTGTGTGAGATTATTGTTGGAGGGTAAAGAAAGAATCATTCCTTATGAAAACTTGCTGTTGTTATACGGGTTTTTTGGTGGGATGGATATGTCTTTTTATTTTCACTGCTAGTGTATATTTGGAGTTGTACAATTTGCACATTCTGTAAGTGCTGTGTAAGCTTGCGCTACTTAAGATTTATACCAAGAATTCTTTCCATTCTTTCTTTTTTTTATTTTTATTTTTTTATTTTATGATGTCGGAACCCGAAAGTGCGCACAGGCCGAACCTAATATCATGCGAACTACGTTCGATAGGTAAGTCACATTTGGCGAACTATGTATGACACTGTTTTCTTTCCATTATCTTGATGCATGTAGTTGTGGTGTTGGGAATGTTATATTAACATGTCATATGTTCTGAGATCAATTTTTGTGTAGATTATATTATACCATTGCATGCCTGACATCAATTATGGCATGTGAGGTCTATATTTTTATCATAGTAAATTAAATTAATCAGAACGGTAACAGCTGTTGTCGTGTAATTTTATGTTTGGTGCCAAATTGGTTAAAAGGTAAAATGTAAAGAATAGAAATATATAAATATATTTGATTATTGAAGAATAGAAATAAAAAGTTTTAAATGGGTTAATATTTGAAAAAAAATGGAAAGAATAACTTCCAACCAAACATTATCTTATATGCAGGTAAAATTGTTCGTAATTCTATAAGCATTGTCATATAATTTTTAAAGTACAATTAAATTTTAGGCTAAATTTCAAAATAGACGAGAAAAGTTATGAGTAATTTTATCTGTATGTTAGGAAAAGACAAACAAGAGGTAAATTGATAACAACGTACATGTAAGTTGTTTATTCAAGAAACACAACACAATACAATACAGTTTCAACCATACGTACAATAACAACCTATGGCAGTTGTAGATGTCTTATATCACCCCCTAACATGTACAAATGCACAATGCTCTTTTCTAAAGAGGGGTTGGGTTGGGTTGCAGTTATTATAGTAAGGCTGTACAGTACAATACAGTGATCAACAACAATTCTAAGTCCTAATTGCAAAGAGCTATTTATATACAAGTAAATGACGATACTACTACAGGTCTAAGCAGCTAAGTATACATACACATATACATGTAATATACTGCAGTATATAATGTTCTCGGTGTTGGTACTTACAGAAAAAGTCGGGGGGCTTGGGGGGAGACTCTTCAATGGGCGGAGATCACCAGAGGGTTTGCCTTCACCATTGCAGCCACGGCAACTGTGTACACGTTAAAATCAACCTCCACGTCAAATTGGTGATATCGAAATAAAACTAGCTAGGAAAAAAAGAAAGCACATTCGAACGAGCGTGGAACATCAAACCAATGCATCTCGAATAAAGAGAACATCAAGATCAAGATAGCCCATGTGTTGAAGAAACTAACATGAAAATAATTATAAAGCACACAATATACGTTAATATAATACAAATATAGTACATGGCCTAACAACACATAATATAGTCTTACACAACACATACAATACTTGATTTTAGCACATGACATACTCTCTTATACAACACACGCTATAATTATGAACAAACAGCGCATGCTTTTATTTACAAACAGTACATGCTGCATCCGCACGGTGTTGATTTTCTAAATTCAGCACCGTAACCTTCCCCAAAAAAGCAGTAGGAATCGTTTAAAGTTTTTAAATGATGTGATCATTTAACGGATGCAGAGTATAGCATACTTGTTTCGACAATTCTAAGCATTTCCTTGGATTGAAATATCTATTGATCATAAGTAACCTGTTTCTTTTGATACTATAATGTAATCTGATTATGATATTTCGATGTTCTTACTGTGTGTGATAGGCAGGCAGGCAAACGAAAAATGCTACCGTTAATATTTTCTTTATAGATGGAGCAGAAACAAAGAAGCTAAGAGATTAGCAATGGATAATTTATTGAAATTGTTCTCGATTATTAGAGCAAAGTTTATCTCCACATATATATATATATATATATATGCAGATATGTCATCATCTTTCACAATAGATGAACAAGAAACCAGGCTGGGGCACAAATAAACAAGAAAACAAGCAAATCAAATTCAAAGCAGAAGCTGTTACACAAATGCTACCAGAATTATGGAAAGAAATCAGAAAATTTTCAATCCTTAATATTTCCCTTTAGATTTCCATTTCCCTAAGAAATTCTCACCATATTGAAAACAAACAGCTAAATGATATGCCAGATCATTGAATCAAGAAATCATTTCTGATCTGAAAAAGTAGAACAATTACAAAACACAAATTGACATATACAACACCAGAGATCCAAGAAATCACAAATGCACCAAGCAAACGATCCATAGCAATATATCAAGAAATCGTTCCAGATCTGAAGAATTAGAACAATGACAAACAACAACAATGATAAAAACAAAATATATATATATATATATATAAACACAACATATCCATGAAATCACGAATGCAGATCCGATCCAATGCATATCAAGAAGATCAAAAGAACATGATCCTAAAGAACAAAGAAACTCAACGAACGGCATGAAGCAAATCAAATAAATCAACCGCCACAGGAAAATAATTGAACAAAGACGCAGATCTGGAAAGTAGAGAAATCATACACAAATTAGCAGAATTCTGGATCGGAGGCCTAGGATCGAAGTTCAAATTGGCGACGCAGTTCTTATGATGATTATTAGCAGAATCGACGAGAGCGTCGTACTCCTCCGCCACGGACGGACCAAGAGCGCAATACACCTCAATCCACTTCCTCTTCTGATCCTCCAGACACTCAAACCTCAGCGCCTCCATCTCCTTCCTCGAATACATCGCCGCCGGACTAGTACTCTCCTTCCCCTTCTTCTCGCCGGCGGCTCTCTCCAAAGCGTCCTTCTTCTTCCTCGACTTGCGCACCCTACGCTTGGGCTTCTTCTCCACTTTAACAACCTCCTTCGTCGTATTCGCGGCGGCGGAATGCTCGATTAGCGCCGTATCGTCAATCACCTGTATTTTGAGCTCACATTGCACCTGGCCTCCCTCGTGCTTCTTGGGGATTTCTTGAGCCTCTGCAACAGCCGGCTCCGGCTTCTCGACGACGCCTTCTTGAAGAAGGGCGTGGTTTCCATCAGAAGAATGCAACGAATTCGCCATGAGAATCGAGAGGTGAGCGCACAGACATCAGACATGGAAGGTATGCGCCAGAGAATCCGCCCGATTTTATACTAAAATTTTCGCGCCTAAAAGTACGGATTTCGGTTTTGAAGCTGAGATTGAATTTCACTGCTACAGAATTGCAGCATTAAAATGCATGACTCCCTATATATATATACTCTTGTCTTACTTAATTTTTGGAATGGTTGGCTTATATATATTTTTATATATATATAATATCAGTAAATTTTTTATTTGTTATTTTAGTTTATTAACATTAAAATTAAACAAATAAAAGTAATTTTTAATCAAATATCAAAATATTTTTATTTTTTATTTTTTAAAAATAAAATAAATATTACTCCCTCCGTCCATTTACAAGGTTTATATTTATTTTTGGTGCAATATTTAATAAATAATAATATTTTAATTATAGTGAGTAGTTAAAAGTAATGTAATGACATTTTTGCCTTATTTTTTTTTGTATAAAAGTAGTGATATGATGTAAAGCAAGGGTATTTGTGGAAAAAAGTAGGATATTTAATGATATGTTAACTTTGTAATTGGACGTCCCAAAATAGAAATATGTAAACATTGTAAGTGGACGGAGGGAGTATATTATATTCCCTCCATCCCAAACAAGGTGCAACATTTGCTTTTGACACAAGTTTTTAGGTGGGTAATATTAAGTAGATAATTTAGAAATCAAGTGATGTGACGGAGAGAGAAATATATATTTTATTTTTTATTTGGATGATGTGAGGGATAAAATATGAGGTAGAAATTAAGTATAATTAATTATTTTCTATTTTGAAAATATTGCCTGGACATACCAAAAAAAATATTGCAGAGTGTTTGAGACGGATGAAGTATTATTATATATTATATATCTATAATATACTAATTTATCTGCATACAAATTTCAAATAAACAATTTACTAATAAATGAAAAGAATATAAATTATTATTTTTTAATATTATTAATACTCCATCCGTCTTATATTTATTTATCCATTTATTTTTTATACAAAATTTTAAAAATATTAATATTATATTAGGATGTAGTAGAAAACCTTATTAGTACTATCATATAAAATTAATAACATTTGTATAATATATTGTAAATCGAAAGAGTATAATTCTTGAGACTTAATATAAAAAATATATTTATATATAAAAATAAAAAACAACAAAGCAAATAAACTCTTTATTTTTTAAAAAAATATACTACTTCAGTTCACCGTCAATCTATCTATTTGCTTTTTGCAGATTAATATTTAATATTAATTATTATATCAAAACATAGTACAAATCAATGAAAACGACAAAAATACTTTTATTGACTTCTTATAATAGTAATGTATTGGCATTTGTACAAAAAATTATATAAATATAAATATATTTTTAGGGTGTGTTTGTTTGGGGGATTGGATTGGATTTACACTATTTATCCAATTTTTTCCCCAAAAAAACATCAAATCAAACACCTATTTTTTATTTTTTATATTATATTAAAAATAAATTTTACATTCAAAACATCACATCAACACCCATTTATATCACATCATACAACTATTCAAATTCAAAATTTTTACTATTCAAATCCCAACTCAAAATCCAAACCCTAAAACAAACACACCCTAAATGTTAAAAACAATGACGACAAATACAAATAGATAAATTAACTGTGAACGAAGGTAGTATTGTATCGGCATTTAACTTTTCAATTTTTTATTATTATTTTTTAATTTTTTAAACTTTAAAATATCTCGACAAATATTTTTTTAAATTTTTTTTTATCATTCTTTCTCCACATTTCTAAATAAAAATACATAATCTTTTTATGTTACAAAATATTATACTCTTTCTATCTAGGGATGTCAACGAGGCGGGTTCGAGACGGGTTCTGCAGGCCCCGAGACCGGCCCGGCTAGAAAATATTAGGCTCCAAGACACGCCTCGCCCCGCTTCCACCCTGCCCCAGGACCCGCCCTGTTCGGGGCCAACCCGTCAAACCCGTTTTTTTTTAAAAAAATATATATAATAATAAATATTTTTTTAACAATCGAATACTAAAATAAATAGCATTAAAAGCACAAAAAAAATCTAAAAACAATCAAATATTAATCCATAAAAATAAGATAAATAAATAAATAATATATTTTTATTATATAAATATACATATATTAGGTATAATAATTTTAAAAAATTATTTGGAGCAGGCGACTAATTAAATTTATATTTAAAATTATTTAAGTAAATAAATAATATATTTTTATTATATAAATGTACATATATATTAGTTATAATAATTTTAAAAAATATATGATTTCGGGTCCGGGTCCAGATTGGGACGGATTTTTAGTAAAACCCGTAACCCGCCTCGAACCCGGCTGGGTTTAAAATTTTAAATCCACAATCCGCCCCGAAACATATTATTTAAACCCGAACCCGCCCCATTAAGAGCGGGTCCGGGGCGGGTTCAAGGCTAACCCGCCCCATTTGACATCCCTATTTCCATCCAAAATCAAAATGGTCTTTTAGAATTTTGTATAAAATTAAGAAATTACAGTGTTTTATTAATTAGTGAAAGTGTTGAAGGGTTTTTGACATTTTTGTCTTTTAATTCTATTTACAAAGTAATTGTATATATAATGATATATTTATAATTTAAGTAAAAATTAAAGCTATTTTGATATTAATGTATGATTATTTATTCTAAAATAAAAAATAAATTCATTTGAAATGAAACAGACTGTAATGATAAAAACAGTATTTTGAATTAAGACAGATAAAATATATATAAACTATTATTTAAATTAAAATTCAATATTTTTCACTTAAAAAGAAAACATCTAAAATTTATCTATTGCATCACATGTATTATATATGGGGTGGGATTCAATGGTGATAGTCAAGTTTAGCATCATGTTGATTAATGATTAGCCTTTGAATCACAAAAATAAATTCAAAGGCTTGTATTAATTTAAAAGTACAAGAGTAATTCTTACATTCTCCTAATTTATATAACCATCTCTGTCTTCTTTCTTTTTTGTGTACGTTCAACTTCATTTGGAAAAATATAGTAGAATTTTTCAAAAAAAAACTCAGGATTCTTTGAAATATGTGACAATATTTTTATATTTAATAGATAATATATTATTTGATATTTTTCAACATCTAATATAAACATGAATTATTGATTGATCTACATGAAATTAACAAAATTTCACAATTTATATTGTGTTAATGCAAATAATAGGGATTTGCAGCAATAATTAAGATGCAGAAAAAAAAAATTCATAATTGTATAAAAATACTCAAATTATTATTAATTAAAATAAATTAGCAACTTGTTTAGTTGAATTTAGCATTTACGTAAACACGGAGAAATATTTCATACTATATTATACAATCCAATACAAAATTCAGTATTTTCTAAAATATGTGACATCATGTTTTCTTAATATAAACATGATACATTGATTGATTGATAGACAATGAAATTCACAAAACCAGATGGTGCTTACAATTTTTATTTCATACGTCCTGGTAGTGCCTCATGTGACCGACATTCTAACCCAAAGATAAAACAGTTTCAGTCTTCGATGAGAGTAGCATCTCATATCGTCGGAGCTCCGGCGAATAAAGCGAGAGGAGAACTGAACTGAGGAGGTTTCCGAAAAGATAGAAGAGATGAGAAGAGATGGAGAGAATATTGTTGGTGTTTTTAGAATGAAGGGGGAGACCCTTTATATAAGCGTCTCTACTCGGTCAAAATGACATAGGATCAATTATGATAATAATTACGACCTTAATCACCGATGTAATTTATTCTAAATTCAAGCCTTCCGTTTGAGGCAGTTGAAATTTATTTTAATAACAAATTCTCCGTTTGTGACGATCGTAATTTATTCTAATTTCAAACCTTCCGTTTGAGATTAGAATAAATTCATCCAACGGATAATATTTTATCCAAAAAATACTGCAACTTCGGCCATATACCTGGGTTTAACTTAGGGCTGCACAATTTGGTTCGTCTCGAGAGAAATAAAATAGCCAAAAATATTACCAAGCCCTATATACAATAAATAAATATTATTTATTATTTTATCCAAATTAATCTAATTGATTTGGTTCACCGGCTCGTCGTATTTTTACTCACCAATTAATTGATTGCATAAATAACCGATTATCCAACAATCCCCCACATGAGTGGAAATGACCATAAAATGACATAAGCCCAGCTCAAACCCTATAGGATATTGATACATCAGGACACGTAGCTTGTGGTTTTGAACCTTTTATAGTCAACAATTACATAATGTACTGGTGGCCAAGTTGACGTGATGCATTGAACTGTTCCATGGGCGCACTTAGTCAATAATATTGATGTGTCGCAATCTCAGTCTCAACTTTGTTCTCACGTTTTGATCCGTTTCGGCCATGGATCTCGTCTTTGGATTCATAAGTGTTTCGTTTGAAGCGGCCAACATTTCACACTTATATAGATAATCCTATCTCAAGGTATCTAACTCACACGTTTAGGATCATTAAGAGTCATGGACTCAACATCACCACTTTGCACATTATAACACTTATTGCTTTTCAGAAAATTGTAATTGAGTGTTCGTGTTGTACTCTCACAACTTAGTTATCCCATTGAACCAGGACTTGGGATTTCCAAGTGATTTGGTTAGGTTACCACTGTAATTGTCTCTATCTTGTCTATTTTAAATCCATTCCCTTTAGCAATTTGTACATTTGATTTTTCTACAACCCTTTGGTTAGTGGATCCGCTAGGTTTTCTATTGACTTTACATATTCAATAGTCAAAACCCCACTGGTGATCAAATGTCTTACATAGTTTTGTCTACGTTGGATATATCGGGATTTAACGTTATAAATTATATTCTTAGCCCTTTTTATTGCAGCTTGGCTATCACAGTGAATCATCACGGGAGGTATCGATTTTGTCCAGTATGGAATATCATCTATAA